CGGTTCGTTAACGAGATAAAGCATTCTCCGGAGCGGACTCCGCTGTCAGCCGTTGTAGAAAGCCGACTCGCCACCCGACACTCGTCACAGTTCCAGCGGTGTTATTCTTTTGTGAGTCACGCCGGCGGAATTGTGAGACGGCAGGTTTTGTTAAATTCGTCGAATATACATCAACGTTATTAAATTATGCTGGAAATTGCGTAAGAGTCTGCGCGAAAAGAGAGAGAGAATATATCTCTTTACATATTCTTTTGGTCTACATAAGAATCGAAATTGGAAAGTTCCGTCCGAGAGGAACAGAGAGAAAAAAACCGAACTAATTTTACTCGGCTGCGCTATTAACTATAAGAGACGTGCGGCTCTTCAAATATTTTTACAGTTTCTGAACTCTCTCCAGCGGGGAATCACGAATGCGGCGAGCAAGATTTGAAATTAAGACACGACCCGAAAATTAAAAGGCTTTATTTCGCACCGGCCTTTTCGTTATAAAATACACGATTCAGGTGTATAATCTCCTCCATTTCCACGGTCGTTAAACAGGTCGCAACATTCTGTCGCGCGTGTATGTACCGTTGCGCTGGATACATTTTTTTAAGCCGCGTACGGCGCTCTTTAATTGCGTATCTCGGCCTTCGGCCAGGCGTATATTCCGCGACTGTATCTTCCCCCGGCTTTTATCGTGCCACTTCGGCGACCAGGCTCCGTAACGCTGCAAATGAGGCCCGGTGCTTGGTCGCGGCAGCCAGCGGCCACGTAATCGTCCGGTATCACGAAATGGCTCGCTTAATGCCGGATTTGATGTAGCCAGTTTCATTAAGAGCCCTAAGCCGCCTTTGCGTGCGAGCTCTCTCTCTCTCTCTCGCTCAACTCGAGCTACCTGACCACGTTCCTCCCCCGGCTTTTTAATAAACGGTCTCGCCCGGTAATCATCGTTTCAATCATTCGTCGACAAAGTTCCTCCCGAAACACCGAGTTGCTCAATAGTCGCGATCGCTATTAATGTCAGCGTCCAATCTCTTCCCGCTCTCCTAAATCGAATCAGTGAAAATGTCACCGATTGAATCGGCAAAACAGTATTTTACAGATGATTAGTGAGTATTCGCTAATTTGTAATTTTTAATAACACTTCCCTTAACTCTTCCGTCTTATACTTCACTGATTTTGGCTAATAAAGATTCACTACGAGTCGTTGTTGTACGTCTCGTGGCAGAAATATGTATAAATATTCGTACATATATTAAACCATATGTATATCGAATTTAGCGTAATTCGTGTGATAACTCAAGAGCCAGAAATTTTGGGTTTCGAGTCTCATTAGGGTAAGCGCATGTTTTTTCAAATATAATATAAATTAAATCAATTAAATATAATTATAAAGACATTTCAGTTAAAATCACTGACACCTAAGAATGATTTAAGATAAAAATAATAATAAATCATATTATTATTATTGTTTCTGAAGTCAGATTTCCTTGATGGAAAAAGTCGCTGCTATTGACAGACTTTTCCAACGAAATCTTACCGACATGCAGTGCTACGCTTATAACTACGACCACCGGTGACTATTGATTGCTTCTCAGTAATAATACACTGATTGCGCTTCGGAGAGCGACTTTCTCTTAAGTTCTCGCTTATATCTCTATTTTTACAAATGATTACCAGCGATAATCGGTCACGTTAAGTGAAAGGAGTTAGCACCTTTCCAACCGAAATTGTTCCGCCGGCAATTGTAAATAAACGAGAAACCTCTCGGCAACCTCGTTAATTTTTCACAAGCGGTAGTCGCTCTCGACTGAAGAGGGTGAAAATATCGAATTCCTTGAAACGCACGAAGCTTCGAGGCGTTCCGCTGCGAACAATGGAAAGTTCCCACCACTCGGAATCTCGGGTAGAAGAGGGAGAAGTGTGCTTTGAAAGCGGATAGGGCCCGACATGGGATTTTCGGCACGTTCTCGCCCGTGCTAATCCAAGACGACCAGCGGCATCGCGACGAGGTATCGTGTGAGAGTCCGAGCGCAAACACACGAAGGCGCTTTCCTCCTATCCGTGACGACTGTTTGTTCTTTCTCGCCCGGTTCGCGTCTCTCTCTCCCTCTCTCTCGTTCTGTCTCTCGAGGCTCTCTAAAGCCCACATAATTACTGTGAGAACCGAGCCGAGTGCCGAGAGCCACCGTCGCTAGTAAGCGTCGCGCTTGAAATCGCTGAGACAGGGAGAGGATTCCGTTCGAGGGCTCGGCTCTCAAAGGGATACGTTTGTTTAGGTGGTGGCCGATCTTTTGTTTCTGTATCTTGTCCGACCGCGCGAGAAAGAAGGGTTGCCGTCTTCCCTCCCGTTGGAGTGGATCGAGGTGGCAGCGGCGGCGTGTCACTCTCGGAATGGGAGGCCTCCTCGTATCTTCGGTAACGCGTGCCCGGCTGTGTGTGAACGGAATGTAACTTTTTCCTTCTCGTGTATGGCGCGTCGCAGTCAAATATTGGGGAACATGTGAACGGTAAATAATCGGGAGGCTTTGGAGAAGTTTATGCCCGGCTATCCCCCCGCTGGGCTGTTTGCCTCAATTTAACGGAATCGAATGGACGAGAATTTGTACCTTCCACAAGGGGTCCTTCTCTTTCTCTCTCGGACGATCATCGTGGATGCATCTTTGTTTGCTACTCATAGATGAAACAGTAGGAATGAACACGTATATATTGTCAAAGAGGGGGAGAGAGAGGGAGAGAGAGAGAGTATACACCGAGTCGGTGGTGGTTCTTTTCTCAGCTGGGTGCCTCGACGACGTCGGGGATTAAGCATCGCAAGCTCGCTGCCGCGTACTTCATCGGCTCGCACACCTTCGGAATAGCGTGTACACGGTGATACAGTCAACAGACCGCCGACGTTCTCTCGTACGGGGCTCGTCATCGACTGCACGTTACGAGGCGTAATTTAAGATGACTTTGATCGCGAACTCAACCGGAACGATCTACGGCTGTCGATCCACGTAGAGCGTAAAACCGCGGCTGATCTACGCTTCGGCGCGCTGGGAAACGTCGGGTGAAGTGAAACGTCACTCGGCGCCGTCGACGCTCGTGTCCGCGTCTCGTAAAGCCGTCACTCGAGTCATCTCCGAAGTCAGCGGGACGTTGGCTGTCCGCTCGTCCGGCGGACAGTAGGCGAGACGTTTCACGAGCGGGGACGAACGACTACACGGTGCGAAATCTCCGCGAGCAGGCCGCGTTCTCTCCCCGCTGCCCCAGAGATGACATCAAGCTCACGGAGAACACGCGGTCTTGTTCTTGAGAGATCTCGCTGATAATCGAACATTTTCCGCAATGCCGAAGGCGAAGCCCGCTAGCGTCGCAATAAATATAGCGTAAGCTTTCGCGCCGAGCGAAATACGAGCGAGATAAGAATCGCTGGCAGTGCGCGCACGGATTATTCCTACCTTCGCTAATTACGGAATTCGGCCAATGTTCTAAAAATGAAACTCTATTTCCGGCTTCATCTAGCCTTAATCTCGCGCGCGCCCAAGCAGTCTTAACGCGTCATCCTGACGTCGTTGCCGCGCTCCTCCGCGAATTTCGTGTCACGGATCTCGCGGTTTCTCCGCGCTCGCCCGCCGCGAGTGGGCTCCGCCGATCTCGACGCGCATAACAACAACGACGAGAGAGAAGAAAGAAGTAGGAAAGAGAAGCCCACCCACGCGCGAGGGAGCGTGCGAGCGTCGATTAAAAGCGCCCCCGGGCTTTATTGTCCGCGATGTTTCACCCGGCGACAATGAGACACCGTTAACAACAAGACACTTATTATTAGCCGGTTGCGCATTGATTTACTTGAAACCGTCACCACGAGACAAGCCGCCGGTAACGCATCACCGCCGAGCATATCGACGGCGCGGATGCAAATGTACCGGGTGACATGTGACATATTCAATCAAAGCCGGTTCACGTTCGCCGTGCCCCGTATTATCGTTCGCGCCATTTGATACACTTTCTCTCTTTCTCCCTGTCTGTCTGTCTCTTTCCCGGCAGCTGCGGGTTCCGATAAAGATAAGGCAACTCGTTTGAACCCGGCCTCATCGACCGACCTTATGCGGATATGTTAATACCCCGGTATTCGCGCGACGTACTATTGTAACCGCACTCGTAAAACGGATGTTAATACCGTGTGTGTTGCCAAACACCTTCAATCATTACGGACACGTTACAACCGTGGAACCTGCACCCGACGAGATTCCGCCCGTCGTTCCTACGAGAAAAAAAGCACCGGTCACTTTTTGCCGGGCGTCGTTACGCAAGATAAACGGCGATTGATAGGCAGAGAGGTGAATATTATGTAATAACCTTCGTAGTAAGGTCTGCTATCTCTGCGTGCGAGCTATCATTCCGCACGCATTAGGCGTTATCTCGAAATTCGCGAAATTCGCTGCCGCGCTAACTCGCGGGAGTAACGCGCCATTAACGGACGGAGGAAAATTAGCGGTCGTTTTTGCGATCGCAGCTGCTCGGTTACTGCCAACTAGGTGCGATCTGTGCGTCGCCAATACGGGTTCCCGGGTGCCCGCCCACAACCATTTCTCCGCGATGGTAGGCCGCGGATAGATGCAATCTGCGAGTCGATTCTCGTAGCGGCCGTTCTCGGCCGTGACACGCGTTCAGAGTGGCGCAGAACCGGCCGATTCTGCGCCGAATAAACGCGCCGCGCGACGTTGATTTATGCGACCGGCGTGCGAGCGATAAGACAAGCGGATCTTGCTGCCGAATTGTTTCGATCAAAATAGAATTCTGCATAGAACCCGGCTATCGCTGAATGAGGTGCAGCCAGAATCGTCAGTGCAGAATTTGTCGTTCGCGTTGTGCGATGTAACTTTCGACGGAGTCTACGTTTTCGAGATTGTATAGTCACTGTTCGGCCGTCAATTTGAAGCTTCGTAACCCGCTGCAGGAGAAGCCGTGGAGATGAATGAGAATCAAACGGAGTGAGAAACATGAATTTCGGCTTCTTTCTTTACATTGAATTCCGCTCTTCGCATTTATCACCGTCACCGTGCAGTCGCTTCGATTCCGCAATACGACGAAACTGGATTGCCGAGGTGCGTTTACTGGAAATTCTGCCTTCCGCGATTTAATCTACGCGACGTTATATCTGTGTGTCGCGATATCGATCGAAAAGCAAGCAATAATTGAGAAAAAGAGGCACGATATTAATCACTTGTCGGATTATCGCGCGCGCGAGCGAGCTTGAAAGAAGCTCGAAATGGTCTTACGTAACGCGGTCTCACGGCTCTCGATGATTGCGCGGGAGAAAAATTGGACGACGACATTTATTTGCGCGCGCCGCTCTCCTGACAAATTGACTGCGCACGGTGCACGCGTGCTTATGCATTTCTTCGTCAGCAGTTCTGTCACAATGTTGCCACAGCGTCATCCCGTATTCACCCCGCGTGAGATCCGCGTAACGAGCGCAATTAATATTTCTTTTAATTACCGCTCCTCCCTTCGCCCACGTGCGTGATTACTCACTAAAGGGAAATTCCCGTTTGGCGTTACTCAAACAGGTTCACGTGTAGGTACGACGCGCGTTTCACTTACCATAATTGCGAATAATAATAAACGATGCCGAGTATCAATATTATCGCGGGGTAGCCGATTTCCCTCCGCAACGCGCGTGCACACGGACGCGACCAGCGCATAATGATACGGTAAAAACTTAACGATTATAGTCCGCGCGATAAGATCGCGGCAGATACCGATCTTTGCGAAATCGCGATATACGTAGAATTAAAGTCCCCTTGCTCCTGCCCCGTCTCTCCTCTCCCGCGTAACCTCGCGCACTTTTTTTTAACTTTCCATGTCGGCTGATCGAAAGGTCTCCGATGAAGAACGGCGAGAATAATGTCCGCGGAGGAGACGGCCGTTACGGCCGATCGAAGGGAAAAAAGTGTAGGATGGCGCCGCGTCGCCGCGCATTATCGTTCCTCATCGAGCGATTATTTGCATACGTTTCACATAATTTCCCTCCGTCGCTTGTACACGTCATTTTATCAGTCATTCGCAACTGATTTTCGTCGCTGATTTATCACTTTTTTCTTTTCCTTTTCATCGTCATCCTCGTAACATCCAATCCTGACGAATTGCTCGGTGATTTCTGCTTCACGGAACGATAGAAAGCGAACGATAGCATCGCCGAGTGGGAAGAAGCGTCGATAATTCCCGAGTGGAATCGCGATCGCTTAGGGACGCGTTTTTACGGGGAGTCTCGTTACGCCGAAATAACAAATCGCCGTGATAAAAAGGCGCGAAATCAATTCGGAGGAGAGGAGACACGACGCAGAAATAACGCGCGGCGCTGGCGGCCCGGTCGCTAATGCACGCGCGGCACCTCGTAGAGGCTCCTGATGTACCGACGCGATTTATCACTGTAAAACGGCCAATGGGTGTTAGCTGTCAGGTCGGCCGACCGCCGATTTGTCAACCGGTGGCTGGCTCTACACGTGAGCTTTGACTAACTTTGTCGTGAATCGCGGCGGCCGGCCGGTAGCGATGGCATCTCGACTTCGCGCTAATGCGACCGTCAGAATGACACGCTCGAGAGTGCATAAAAGCGCAGATCGTATATCAAAAAGGCCCTTCTGTCTGTTTTAATCCTTTATAGCGCGTGCCGATCTCACTTGCACTTCGCCCGAGTATCTTGCGAGAATTGTCGTTCCTCCTCGGCGACTTTGCGCGCATGATCGAGAGCGGAATTGTTCGCGATGTCCGAGATAACCAAACGGAGCGTGACACGCGGTTAAGTGTGTATCCGAGTCGAAATTTTGATCCTATGTTAAACCTTTGATTCTACATTGAGTCTTCAATGTGAAAAAACGAAAATGACTTTCCATTTGTAGCACCAAAGGAGCAAAATAGAAGACTTCTGAAGACTTAACGTAATACTAAAATTTCCATCCGGGAATATGATCAGTTTTTATCGATTTTTCGTGCAACGATATTGTTCGGGGGGCTTTGCTGCCGAGTTGAGTTTTGCTTCTCGAACGTTGACGATGCAGAAATAATGTAAATCCGGCGGGATGATGCATCTCGAAGGGAGATTTAGAGGTAGACTTTAATCGAGCCCGACGGTGGCCATTCACGTTAACCAGTTCGGACAGGGTATTCCGAGTCATTTATAGCCGAGATTCAATTATTCCGTCGTGGCGCGACGTGGAGCGCGCCAAAGGAATTTACCGCTGAAATTTTATCCGACCGGCGATTACGATTGCTATACAAGCGCCCGCGCGAATCGACTTAATCGCTTCATAATATTCACCGGCTCGGCGCTGCCCTGCTATGAGTATTTTGCGAAACACTATCAGCGAAACGCCCAGCTCACAACTCGCGCGACTGGTATTAACTCTTCACCGTAGTCTCTCGCCGCGGCCCCGTCGTATTTCATCCGCGCGAGCCACCATAAATTACCGGCCATATTTTTCCATCGAATCATTGCGTCGGATCGTTGGATCAAAACCACCGGACAAAAGATCGCATTTAGATAAACCGTCGCGTAAACGCGCGATATCGCGAGTATCGGTGCACCGTAAGCGAGATCAGATCGAACGCATTTCCTTGAGTCCGCAAATTGTCGCAACGTGATTTACCGTCGCCTACGACGATACCCACCAAGCGCCGTTTACGTTAATCCCGAGACCGCATTTTGTACGTCTGCGCGCATCCTCCTCGACGCAACGTCGAGGAAGAGAGAGATTACGGTCTTTACGGTACCCGAACGGGGGAGCTTTTACGTCCGCGACTGGTTGGTATGCCGTCGTGGCCTCTCGCAAATTTGCAGTCCCTTTACTGCGTAATGACGTTACGCCGTTACGCATCCTCGCATGTTTTCACCCTGCTTTATGCATTTATGCAAGCGGGAGGTCGAGGAAAGGGAAGAGGGAGAGCGCGAGGGAGAGAGCAAAAGGAGGCGGAGGTGAGAGACGCACCAGGAACGAGCAGGTAGGGATAATGAGAGGGCGGCCGATGATGCCGGTTTAATCATCTCGCGAAACACCTAACGGCTGTTACTCACGACGTCGTTGACCACGACTGCCGCCGCCGCGAGGAGAGTACCCCGGCATGAATCCGTTCAATGAGGAATGTCCCCTGGCATGAATCACGTGGGTCGTAAGTCGCTCAGTCAAGGGCGCGCGCTTTTTCGAGCGGTCGCGATCGGCGGCCTCGAGCGATTTCGCACGCAAGCCGGCGCGGCTCGGCAGATTTTTCTTCTTCTTGTTACTTTTCCGTCGTGCGAATGTCTGATCGCGCGGCGACGTGCGTTCGTTCGCGCTCGTTTAGGCGCTACAATCTCCGACGAAACGAAGAGACGAGACGTGAGCGGCGCGAGCTCGAGATCTTCGTCGGCGTAATCGCGAGACTCCGTTGCTGACGCGGATTTCAGATCGGAGGAATGGCCGAAACGGCGAACGCATTACACACTCGGCGAAGGAAAAGTCCGGTTTCATTTGTGATCTTTGATATTCGATAATTAAATCTCGATTGGGCTGTCTCTCTCTCTCTCTTTTGTGGTCTCCAGGTGTCTGCATAAATACTTCTTAACCTCCGTATCTCAATAAGAATGTGCCAGTATTCTTTTCTATCTTATTCATTATTTTATTCAGTATTCCATTCCATATCAATTTCTATATATAAACTTTCTCTTTCCTCTAAATATAAACTTTCTTTTTATTGTACACTTATATTAGGTCGACTTTTCTAAAAATTTTCATTTTTCGTTCAAAATTATCTATTGTAATTTCCAGAAATCTGAATAATTTTTAGTTTTTTTTTCACTTTCGATACTTTATCTTCATCTCGATCTAATTTATCTTTTTTTCTTTTCATTTTACTATTTAATATTGTGTATTATTCTTTTTCCTTACTTATATAAATATTTACTTATAGTTCTTATAGGACATACCCTTCGACTTAAATCAGTGCTTTTCTCTCTCTCTCTCTTTCTCTCTCACGTACACGCACACAAACACATACACGAGCACTCGATTGATTACACTTGGTGTATACAATGATACACAGGAGGACGATTGCGAGCAACACGCGTGCGCTCCTTTAATCCCGTTCGCAAAGCCGCTGGCGCCGCGTACATTCGACGTAATTACGGGGGTCACCTGATATATACGCACACGATCGTCCTTCTGGTATCGATTTCCGATTGCTATCTGTGCGTGCAAAGTCGTCGGCGCCGCCTTCTTGTTATTTCTGTAATAAAAATACGAGCGGGAATCTCGCAGCCGTCTGATTGCCGCCGTCTGATCTCGCATCTCTCTCGTTGTACGACGTGTAGGAGTATCTCGGAGATGGGAGACGTCGCGTCTCGGAAGCCGTCGTGATTAGACGTGGCTCGAATTAGGCGTAAAAAGGAGCACGACCTCCGGGACGAGAGTCCGCGTTTACGCTCGATGCACGGTAAATTACCGAACGACAAGCGACGAGATAGGATCTGACACAACATTTTTACGCTCGCCCGACGCGAGCGCGTACGCGAAGCCCATTACTTATTCGTAATGGGATTAAGAGCACCGCCACGGTGATGCAATCCGACGATAGAGAGAAAGAGAGAGGAGTCCCGAAGTGGAGTGATAAAACAACGTCTCCTCGAAGTCGCGCCGTGTCGCTTTACGGGGCGTTAGGCCATGAAATTGTAATTTAATTGCTTCTGCCGCGGCATCCACGCGGCGACCGGCCGGAGCACGCGCAATTTGCATCCGAAATTAAAAATCCTCTCGCCGGAGAGATGCATGTCCCGACTATCGGGCCACGACGGCCGGGCGATAAGTTTGTACGCATTCTCGTTAATTATGCATGAGCGCGTTCCTATTATAATGTTCGACCGGTGTTCGCGAACAATGTGCGAGACACGCTCGCCCAATTACGCTACTGCGTGTGGCCGGCTGGCCCCGCGATTAGGCGCACTAACGAACCGAACGACGCGAATCGACGTGTCGGCGCGACGTCGATTTTACTCGGGATATATTTTATCCCTCTAGCGCCAGCACCGCCAACTCCGATCGTTTCGGGAAATATTAATATACACGCGTCCGCA